ATATATATATATATAGGTTATTAAAAAAAAAAAAAAAAAGCTTTTCAAGAGTTAAAATGTTTGAAATAGAGATAAAAGCTTATTATTGGACTGTATTTTGCAAATGGAAGCCCTGTGGGACAGTAAAAGTTGATCATTTTCCTGTTCATAAATATATTCCTAGATATTTCTCTGACCTTCTATAATGGCTGTGTCATACCCAGTTAAAGGCATGTCTGACATGCAGATAAGCTTTTGCTTGTTTTAGATCTTTGTGTGAAACATTTCTTCTTCGGCTGCAGTTTTCCTTGCTGATCATGGGTCTTTTTTATTTTTACTTTTTGTTCTTCTGCCTCTTAGTGGGTAAAATGGTTAATTGCAGAATTATTTTGTTGTTTTTGCCACTATAGAAATACATTTGTTTCCCAGTTTATCCATCTATCTATTAAACATCTATTTAAACAAACATACATAAAGTGAATATAATATTAATTAAAACAAACCGCCTCTAAAGCAGAACTTAAACAAAACCTTATGTTGTTTATTTCTTAACTTGATATCTTAAGTATTTACAGTAGACCTTTTGCGGTAATATTTAATTAATTATTTATGCTTTAAAGTAGAGATTATTTAAAGATGTAACAACTTGCTCAAAAAATGTCAAATCCATTATGAAACAAGCTATTATTATTATTTGTATGTTAAGAAGGTCATTATGATCCAGACCCATTTTCTGAAAAACAAATTTAACCCTTCATTCCAAAAAATAAATAAATAAAAACTTTCACAGTTTAATGGATTTAATAAAAACTAAAAAAAGTTTTATGGTTTATTTCCATGGTTGCTATCTTTATAGGTGATGCTATAAATGTAGTTGTTGTGGTAAAAACAACTTTGTTTAGATTAATTTTGTGATAAAGAATCTTCATCAAACCACATTCTCACTTTTCAGCCACTGATCATTAAGGATTTTGCTGTCAAAATAAAACAAAAAACTAACTAAATAGACAGCTGAGGAAAGGCCGGATTAACCACTTTAGGAGATTTAGGCCATTTGACACATTTAGAATGAGCAGAAGTCATTATGGTTTTATGATTTATATTAGGAGGTTTCTTGAAGGAATCTTTGTTATAATCAGTAAACCCTGTCACAAACATTCATTGATAATCTTATTTCATTTGAAGTCAACTAAGTTACAGATATTTAATTTTAATTTGGGCATCAAATTTGGGACCCTGTGTACATAATTTCGCTCCACCACATGTACCACATAAGGTGCGAATGACAATAAAGAAACTCTGACTCTGACTCTGAAATCATCACCTTTGAATATATAATATTTTTAATTCATTGATTCAGCTGTTGGTCAGGCTACTTCTTGTTGTGCCATTAGCTATAAAATAGTTACTGAATCAAGTGTTTACTTCCATCCATCCGCGGGGGTAGCAGCCTAAGTGGGGAGGCCCAGACTTCCCTCTCCCCAGCCACTTGGACCAGCTCCTCCAGGGGAATCCCAAGGCATTCCAAGTGTTTACTTATGTAGGTAAAACTAGATGTTAAACAACCATTAAAATACACCAGAATGCAGGAAATGGCATCTACTTTATTCAAAATTTTCTGGGGGAGGACCCCCAGACCCCCCCATCAGCAACAGCTTGTTTTCTTATAAACAAAACTCTGTTAAGCTACCATCATTTTCAATGACGTCTTGACATGAAGCCTTAAAACCATTTTGATTGGCTTCACTAATGTGCATCCATGACATCTTTCTGACTTTCTAACTCAACCAACCATCCTGTTGGGAGGAACTGCTAGTTCTTTCCTCCTCGAGGAATCTGGTATGATTTGCACACAACCTAAGCCTGTGCAAAACCCTAGGGGGGAGACTACATGGTTTGTGTAATTTCCATTAATGCCATTTAAAATGTCTCATAATTCTCAGCTACAGGGTCATCTGTCAGCGGATTTAATCTGAGGGTGACAAACGGCCCTACGGTGGCTGCAGTCCCTGCTCTGACCGCGCTGTAGCTCATTAATTTCCTGCCCAAATATCAGCTTCTGTCATGACCCTCAGAGAGTGGGCTGGAGCCAGATCATATTTCATTATTAGATTGATCAAACCCACATGCAGACTCAATTATAAATCATGTGGAAGGTGACATTAATCCTGCAGAAATAGTTTGCAGATGTCCTATAACCCATGTTTTAGTTGTTGCAGAGTGTGAGAAAGTCAATTTATTTTAGATTTACATATATTTTTCTCTTCAGTGAGTTATTTAAAAGGTGATGTGCTGTACTTTGGAGGAATCTTAAACTTAGTTTGGCTTAAGTGTAATCAAACATCTTTTCTCCAGTTTTGTAAGAATGTTTTGCCGGTCAGCATACATAAAAGAAAGATGTAGCACCATCTTTATCTTAAGATGTTGGGCCCGGTGCTTAATTTGAGCTGGATCCTGCTGGAACAAGATCTGGGAACTCTTTTATTTTGACAGGGTGCGTTCCGGTAACTGTTTGTTTGGATTCGGTAATGCTTAGGCGTACTAATAATAAAGTTATGAACAAATATATGGGATTATTATTATTACAAATATTATTATAATTATCACAAATTATTATTATTACAAATAAAGGGATAAGGGACCACTCTAAGGGATTTTAAACAACTGTTAAGTTCACTACAAAAAACCATTGCAGACATGTTCCTGGTCTTAGTATTTTACTTCGCTTCATAGTGTAAATGTTTTTGTTTCATTTTTATATATTTCTTTTATTTACTTTTCATTTTATATGCTTTTATGTGATTGTCTATTGTTGTCTGTACATCATCTGTGTTCTTTGTTTAAAATAGATCTCTCTCATAAATGAGTCCTCGAGAGTGAGACTAACCTGTATAATAAAGGTTGAATGAATGAGCAAATATAACTGCCTTGAATGAATAAAACTTATATTGGATATGTAAACTGAAAATATTTACATAAACACTAGTTTTAAACACAACAGCGACTTCTTAATATCACATAGGATCTGCCTCTTCAAGTAAGTATTTCCACCTCTACCCTTAAATAAAAATCTCCACCCCTAAAAGAGTGGTGGGGGTGACTACCTGGAGGTTTCACATGTGGAGTCGGACAGTGAATTCAGAGAAGAGTCGGCTCTGAACGTAAGGGGGAGGGGGGCAGGATGCTTGACAGAAGCGGAGTGTTTACAAATGTAGATAAAGGTAGATGTTAACAACCCATTAAAATACAACAAAATGCAGGAAATCACTTCTACTTTATTCAAAATTTTCTGGGGGAGGACCCATTCCCGCCCAGCCGGCCAGTCCGCCTGCTATTTGTTCCAACATCAATTGGTTTACAAGTCCTGGTTAGGCCCATGAGGGTGTTTCTTCAATGCTGAAACATCAGTGGCTGCTAGGGTGTGGCTCTGGTACCAGCCCAGATTGAAAAAAGTTGTGGATTTTCGTAGCAGCACGATATTCATGCTGCTGTTCGGCATATTGTTTTTGTACTACTAGTGCTTAGCGTATTTCTAGTCTAAAGTTTTTTTTAGTTCATATCTTAGACATTATTACTGTTTTTCTTTTACATTTTATACTTTTGTTGGATGTAACAGGGACACAGTGTACACAGTTTCGTTCCACCACATGTACCACATGTGGTGTGAATGACAAATAAAGGAACTTTGACTTTGAAACAACTAGCTTCTGTCATGAGGTAAAAACAGAATACATTAGTTATTTTAGTTATTTCTATTAGAGTGCTAGTGGTCCTTCAGAAAAAAAAGGAACATTTTTGTCGAGATATGTTTGAAGTAAAACTATCTTCTCTCAAAATTCACATTTAAGAAAACAATAAATGACGCCAAAGTAGCCCCTTCATCCTGTATGTGCTGCTGATTGTTGGTCCATTTATTGATAATTGGCAAATGACTCAGGTACTCATCACCAACTTTGTTGAATAAGAAAAACAAAATCATGTTTTGTTGAACTCACAGGTTTAAAGTCTACAAATGTGAAACATACATTAGCAGTACAACAAATTTTAACACATAAATAAAATATATCAAAGAAGTAATTGTCCCAAATAATAAAACACAGAGTTAGAAGTGTTCAGTGAGCATTTGTTCAATAAACATAGTTGTTAGCATTATCCAAATTAATTATTGTTTCATTTTTTGGATTCAGTTGGCCTGTTTCATGGCAGACAAACATTTGGATTTAACAGAACTGCACGAGCACAGTTATATTAATGAAGACTGCAATACATTTATACAAACTGGTTTTGTAGAAAATGTACACATGCAGAAATTGTAAATGGAATGCAGCCCCTTTTAACAAGCTAGTGCTTGTGCTCATTTTTTTATTCAGTCAAAATGTCTTAAAATAGACTAAATGACTGCATGCAATAAAATACGTCAAAAGAGATATATGGTTTTACTATTTTAGTTAGGCACATTAAAGCATACATGCTTTTTCAAGTATTGCACCTAAATACAAATATATTTAGTCTATTTTCAATTTATGCTCCACTACAAGTAGGAAAGAAATAGCTTTAAAAAATTTTGATGTGACTATTAACTAATTAAATTAATTAATTAATTAATTAACTAATTGGGGGAGTGGTGGCACAGAGGTTAGAAGATGGGCTTGTGATCGTAAAGTCGCAGGTTCACCTCCCGGTACCGTCAACATGGAAATGTGGGTGGAAAAGGTGAAACACCCACACCTGCCTCCACCCTCATTCACCCCACTCTGGGCCCCTGAGCAAGGCCCTTAACCCCCACCATCCGCTCCCTAAACAGGTCTCTCTTGAAAATGAGTTCTCATGGATCAATGGGACTACATGTATAAATAAAGGGTAAATGAAAAAAAAAAATCAGTTGCTATTTTGTTACCGGTACATTGAAAACTCAAAGGTAACTCGTTAGAAACATGTACCAAAGATTTATGTCTGAAAAATAACGACAGACTGGTGGTCTAATGTAAAATGATAATGATGAATCTGTCTCTTCCACATTTGTTTAAAATTGTTAGGGAATTTTGGGTAAAAGGTTATAAATGTTTTTAACTACTATGGCTGATAATGTTAACTCTGCCCATGATCCATATTGGGGCAGCAGAGAGCTGAATGAGGCTGCAAGCATGCAGCTCTTGCTCCAAAGACGCCTCCGAGTCTGTGAGCACGGCTGAACTGTTAAGAGTATAAAAACAAGCTTCACAGATGGCTCATGGCAGATTCTCGTGACTGGTCTTAATGTGTGTATACTTCATGTAAATCTATGTAAACTGTCATGAAAATCTGACCTTGCAAGTAAATACTGGTTAAAAATCTTCTGTTGTCAAGTGAAGTTCCTTTTGAGTAAGTATGTAAAGTGAGAATATTTTTCTCCAACAAAAATGTCATCAAAAATTCTGTTTTACCACATTTTAGACGTACATTTACAGATATAGATTACACTGAATGTTTGATTGACTCATCTCTTCATGTGCTCCATCATATAAATGACCTATATACAATTGTAATGCAAAAAATAGACATTCAATTAATACTATTAAATAAGACACAATACACATTAATAAGCAATACTAAAAATATTACTACTACTGTTGGTCAATAAACTGATCTAAACTGCTACTTTTGCATAATTTCATCCCCTGCCACTCCGTTCAGTACGGATAAATAAACACAAGAATGTTTGTGCTGACAGAACTTGCAGAGTCAAGCACACGTTCAGCAAAGGGAAAATGCAGTTTGCACCAGATTAGACAGCAGGAAGTGGAAAATGACAGAGTGGATAGCTAAGGAAATGTTTCGGATGAGTAAGCAAACACTGTGCAGAAATGCTTAGTAAATGCAAAAATAATGGACAATATGTGCATCAGACCTAATGACCTCCACCAAACCTGTGTGTGTTTAAATAGCATTGTCTGTTCATCAGAACTTATTTTGTTGCAAGCACCATAAACTGTTGTTCAGGCTCATCCTGAAGTCTCTGATATGTATCGTTTGGACATGTTATTAAGTGACAGTCTGATACTGTGCTCCATTTGAGACGAATCCGCTTGTGTTGATGTTGATTTGAAAGAGTCCAGAGCAGTTTTGCAGAAAGTGGTTGTCAGTCTTCTCCTGAACACCTTGCACAGGAAGACATAAATCAGTGGGTCGAGGCAAACATTAGTGGTAGACAGCCACAGTGTGGTTTCCTTGGCGATATATAATGCATTCTCTGCTTGGCAGTGACTTGATGTGCTGCGGGTTTGAGTCAGAGTGTAAGGAACGCGAACAAAGTGGTACGGGGCGAAGCAGATAAAAAACACCCCCACGACTACGAACACCTTCGCTTTGGTTCTTCGACTTGCAGCCTGGTATCTGCTCTTGGAGGCTTTGTAGGACTCGTAGACCTTCTTGCTGATCAATGTGTAGCAAACGAGCATCAAGGCAAACGTGCCCCAAAATACAACCTACAAGTGAACAGAAACAGCCATGAAGCAAAACAGAAAACTGAAGCCAAATTTGATCACACGTCTTAATGGAGGGATTATAATGGGATTAATAAATCTTAATGCATCCATGATAATAACCCAAAAGAAACAAAATATTTTGAGCTATACAGTAAAATATAACACTTTTCATTCAAACAAATTATGGAAACTTTTTTGGTTTTTGGACCTGAGCATCTTACAAATACATTTTTCAATTTTTCGCCCTCCTTAGATGGCATTTATCTGTCCTCCAGCTATAATGTTAAAAATCTTGGTGTTATTTTTGATCAGGACATGTCTTTTATCCCCCACATTAAAAACGTTACTTGAACTGCCTTCTTCCACCTGCGTAATATCACTAAAATTAAAAACATTTAAAAATGATGCAGAAAAACTGTTTCATGCATTTGTCACATCTAGACTGGACTATTGCAATGGTTTATTATCTGGGTGTCCAAATACTTCCTTAAAACATCTTCAGTTGATCCAAAATGCTGCTGCCAGAGTCTTAACTGGAGTTAGTGGGAGAGATCATATTTCTCCAGTTTTACCTTCTCTCCACTGGCTCCCTGTCAAGTCCAGAATTGAATTCAAAATCTTACTTCTAACCTACAAAGCTCTCAACCTGGCTCCATCTTATATTACAGATCGTATTGTTCCATATTTTCCTAACAGAGCACTTCGCTCTCAGGCTGCAGGTTTACTTGTGGTTCCTAGAATTTACAAAAACAGAATGGGAGGCAGATCTTTCAGTTATCAGGCTCCTCTCTTGTGGAACCAACTTCCAATCTCTGTCCGTGAGGCTGACACATTGTCCAGTTTTAAAACTAGGCTGAAGACTTTCCTTTTTGCTAAATCCTATAGTTAGGGTCGGCTTGGGTTTCCTGAGCTGTCCCTTAGTTATGCTGCTATATGCTTAGACTGCTGGAGGACAAACTGACCACACTTTTTTCGCTATGCTTTTCTTTACTTACTCTGTTCAACCTGGTTTGTATTTGTAATTATTTTTTCTATCCTTAAGGCTGTTTTTTTGTCTCTCAGGTACATCTGGACCTACCATTCTGTGTTCTTCTGTCTCTCCTTCCTGTCCTCTCAAACCCGCCGGTCAAAGCAGATGGCCGCTTGTCCTGAACCTGGTTATGCTGGAGGTTTCTTCCTTTTAAAAGGGAGTTTTTTATTTCCACTGTTGCCACTGTGCTTGCTCAGGATGGGAGACTGCGACGAAGCCAAGATTCAACTTGTCTGCTGGATTCCTTAGATAGAGAGCTTTACTAATTGGCTTTTATGTATGTGAATCTTTCTGTAAAGTGCCCTGAGACAACTTTGTTGTGATATGGTGCTATATAAATAAACTGAATTGAATTGGAAACTGAATGAACAAAAGGAGTCAAAATATTGAGTACAGTGACATAAGATATTTTGTAGTGGATAGACACTTGTTAGAGCTATCTTACGTGCTTTCGTCAGTGTTTCAACAACTTTGTTTTTGGTTACATTGCAGAGTGTGTTGGTTTTTTCAACAGAGGATGTTGCTCCAAATGGTGCAACCCAGCATAATGTCTAGCTTGGCTGCATCTGTTGAAACAGAAGCTAAATAATTTCCAAACTCTAGATTTTAATGCAGAAGGTGATGTTTGTATGTCACCTCATATTATATGCCATAAAGCCATCAGTACCTATAACATCTCTTAATGAAATGAGGATAACGAGTTACAACAACAAAAACTTTCCCTTTGGGATTAATAAAGTATTTTTGAAACTCTCAAGGTGCTGCTGCACCACTGTAATACAAAGATCTTCCTTTAGTTGAGCCTTACAGGTGGTCAGTATTACCATAAAATAATCATCAATTTTTGACACTAGTCGATTTAGAATTTTTCATATCTGCATTGCAATGCATAGAAAAATAGATTACAGCCGCAGCCCATGATGAAGAGCACTCAACCAGAGTAATTATCTGATGGAAAAGCACAACAATGTAAAAAAAAAAAAAAGGAATGTTATTGACAACAAACCAAAAACACCCTTTGTCTTCTATGCATATGTGTGTGCAATGCAAACATGACAGTGGTATAAAGGTTTGTGAACAAGTGTTTGCAAAAATACTATGAACGTGGAGTTGCGTCAGAGACACAGTTTTCTATACTGCTCTGGTTTGGTCCTGCTCAGACTAGCCGTTTTCTTGTCTGGTCAGAGTTAGGCCCTGTTTACACGACAATGATCCATTGAAAATTGAAAAAAATCCCCCATTTCTATTAACACATTCACATGAAAACGTTCTAATTACAATCTCTGTTTACACAGCAACTGTAGACGTGGAAAAGGTGTAATTCCCTCGCCACGCCACTAGTTGGTGCTATGTTCTTTGAAATTTGAATCTCTAAGCGCATTAAAAAAAAGTTCTAAATCTTCTAACATTTCTCTCATGAGAAAACCACCCAGGGGGTGTCCAAACTGAAATCAGTCCAGGGGAATTAGATTTATAGATTTACAAGACAGGCAGCACGGTGGCACAACTGGTAGAGCTGCTGCCTATTTAGAAGACTCAGAAGCACAAACAATACTCTGGTATCCAACATTGTCAATAGTTTCTTCTTCTGTGGATTGCAGGAAGCCATTATGTTTTGCATCATATTGCACATGAAACAGGGATTCCCTGACAGAAAATATCTATTTTTTTTCTGTTTGCACGACAACGGAAATGGGGACATTTTTGAACCATTGCACTCAGGAACCTGTTCTCAAATTGTGCCGTTGTCAGAGAAAACATTGCTATTTTTGTATAAATGAACATCACAAATGCAACAAAACTCTTCCATTTTCACCAGAAATCATTTTCGTGTAAACAGGGCCTTAATCTCTGTTTTGCCAAACAAGAGCTATCTACAACAGGCACAACATTAATTGTTCATAACTTTCACAGAACTTAACTTAAAAATGAAATCTGATTATTATTTTTTTTACTTTGAAGAAATTGTTTGTTTGAAAAACTAGTTATAAATTTATGACACGTAAAATAGTTTCATTTATCAGTTGTAACCTAAACTTTGAATAGCTACCTGACAGAAGTAGTTGAATCCCTCATGCCACTTCAGACCAGCGGTGCCCTTCATGGAGGAGCACCTGAGTCTGTTGTTTCCAGAGACTTTTGGTGGCTGATCACTGAGAATAACGTTGGGTAGAGCCAACGATAACATTATCACCCAAACAGCTGCACTCAGAATCTGTCCAACACGAACCCGCTGCAGAAAACACTTCTCAAAGGGCTTGACAATCTTCAGGTACCGGTCCAAGCTGATGAGGCCCAGCAACAAAATGCTGATGTACATGGTGATGTAGAAGAGGACACTGGAGTATCTGCAGGAAAAGGCACGTAGATGCGAGGAACCCACACCAGCATCGCTCAAGGCTTTAACAGGGATGGTCAAGGTCATCAGCAAATCAGCCACTACCTGTTATTGAAGCACAAGCACACCTTGTTTTTGTCAGTTTTCACATTTGCTTTATGTGAAACCTTATTCAGTGACTTACCACATTTTTTAGAAAGACCACAAATGTTGAATTACTGGGAATTTTGAAGAAGATCCATGCAGCAAGGGAGTTCATTATCAAGGCGACCAAGCAAAGGATGCTGTATAGACCAGGGAAAACCACTCCTGTTACACTGGTGTCTCTGATACACTTAATGGAGGTGTTGGGCAGTGTGCTGTTCATCTTCCTATCTTAAGTGGACCTTTAAATGGAATACATAAAACACATTTAGAAACAAGTTGTGAAGAGGCGACTTGTAAAGGTGTTAACATGACATTTGTCTCGTTGCAATTTAATGTTTTGTCAGGAAACACTGCATTGCTCAACAGAACACGGTCCTCCAACAGAAATGGGACTTCTTCCAGATAGCAGGTTCTTTTACACAAGAAAAAAAAACATAGACACTACAAAAATAGTACAAGTTGTTGCTGACCAAAGTAACTAAAACTGATGGAGAAGTGATTTGCATATTGCATTTTTACTTGTATTTTCCAGAAATGTAAATCAGGAATGAATTATCCTGGAGACTGAACTGGTAGACTGAACTGGTAACTCTTTGGAAATGCATGTCTGCATGTTCACTCTCACATAAATAAGTATATGAACCAAAAAAAATGCAAGATGGCTAAGGCTAAATTTATAT